AAAAAAAAAAACCTGAGCACAGAAAGGCGTAAGCGCAGGAAACCCAGGCAGAAATGAGAGACTGATGGCTTCCTGAGGGGAAGCCGGCGTCCTGTCACGGAGTCACCGCCGCGTCGCCCGGGCCGCTGAAGAACAAAGGCGGAAACCTGAGGGGCAGAGGGGCGGCCCTTTGTCTGCGCGCTCGGCGGAAGATGCCCTGTTGCACCGGCAACCGGAGCCGGAGACCGCGGAGAGCCTGAGGGCAGCACGGCCGCCGTCCGTCCGCACGGCTCGGGCGAGCCAAATACCGTGTTCCTGGAAAAGGACCCCCCTTTACGGCCAAACCCCACCCAGCACAGACACCCCCACCCACCCCGAACACACATCCGAGAGCACGAGCATCTCTGCCCAGATGTTGCACGGACCGCTGGTCAGTTCACGGTCACCAGCCCCGCACTGGGGCCGGACTGAGTGTCCACTTCTTCCTGGGACCCCAGGGGTCGTCGGACTGTCCGAGAACTGGACATAGGAGCAGCTGTACTGTCGCTATCGCACGCACTCTCAGTCCAGTTCCAGAGCTAACTCACTCATGCCACGCTTTGCATTTTTAATTAAACAAACATCTGAAATATTTTAAGTACTGGTTCTGAGAAAACATGGGTTTTCTAACTTCACGGAAAATGCTCGGTGTATTTACTACGACCAATACTAGATCTAGAATCCAATTTATATAGTATTCAGATAGGATATTGTTAACAATAATTACAAATGGCTTTGCTATTACAGCTCAGAAGAAAAGAAAATAGTCAAATATGAACTCTAGGAACATGCTTGTTGAGGGCCACAGTTTTGTAGCTATTTAACATGATCTGCTCTCACAAGGACAGTTCCGCGTGTCGGACACTTGGGGGGGGGTCCTGGCGGCTGGGGAGGACGGGTTGCGTGGGGTCTCTGCTCTGAACCCCTGTCACAGTGACCCCAGCGCCCCACGTCTCACCTGGTTCTACCCCAGAGGCGACGTCATCCTGCTGCGTGACGTCACGCTCACACAGCGTCCTCCCCTGCCTCGCGCGGCGGCAGCGGCGGCTCTGATCACCGGTCTGCCTGATCGATAATCGATCCTCGCTGGGGCTGATCGATCGGGAGAGCGGGCCGGTTTGTTTACCGCGGGCTGCCGGGAGCGTGTGCCTCTCTCGACTTGAAGCCGCCCGGCTTTCGAAACAGCAAGGCTGTGCAAACCCGGTCCAGCCCGGAACCGTCCGAGCACCGAGCAGCGCCCACGCCAGAACCCGGTCTGCCGGGTCACACCATAAGACCCGAACAGTGATCAGCAATCAATAGAACAATCTTAAGGCTTTCGAAGCGACTTCCGAGTCCAGCTTCACACGCATGCGCGGCACGGCGGAGTCGGGGCACAATTTGGCGATCCCCGAGACACAAAACCAGCCAAAACCCACCCGGGACACGGCGAGCGGAGACACACTCACCGACACGCAGGGGCTCGAGGTGTTGCTGGGGGTGGGGGACCTCTGCACGGTGACTAGCGCCATTTAGGGGACGGCGGGCTCCCGGACCGACATGATTTCGGGGAGATACCCTCAGCTGCTCCGCTGTCCCTCGCCTGGGCTGCGGCAGACCTGCGGCGCGCATGCGTCCCCGGGGCTGTCAAACCGACGTTAACTCTTTGAGTCCCGGACAGAGCCGCTCAGAGCTGTTCCGCTCCAGGTCTGCTCTCCGTCCAGCTCTTGATACAGCGAAAGCCAGGTATTTCGCAGTTTGGCTTCAGTGAAAATTAAAATAAACCTTATTTATCAATTTTTTAATCCTTCACTTTCCGTGTCGCCCAATTTGCACCTTTCAAGTCGGAGATGGAGGAGGTCTTCTGCTACAATCACTGCGGGAGCAAGCAGGTCTGTCTGAGAGCACAACGGGACACAGACTGGCCAGCGAGGTGCTGCTGTCTGTGTGTGCTGTATCTCTGTGAATGTCTATCTCTGTGTGTGCTTTATCTTTGTGAATGTATCTCTGTGAATGTGTATCTCTGTGTGTGGTGTGTATCTGGCACAGCTCCTTTTCAAACCTCTGCCTTCTGAGCTCTTTCCTCTTCCAGCTCACGACAGGAAACCCAGAGTCTCTCAGCACGGAGGTGCGACACCAGCCCAGACGCTGAGCGACCAGGAAGAGAGAAGCCGCACGCACCCACACACCCGAGAGACTGGCAGCAAGCTGGCACAGGTGCCTGCCTCTGGGACACAGGAAGCACTGAGTGCCAGGGGCTCTTCAGGGCTCCTTTGCAGAAGGGCCATGATGCAGGACCCTGGGTAGACTTAGGACCAAGCATGCAAGCTGGTAGTTCCCATCTGTGCCTGGGCATCAGTGTGAGGCCACACCAGGCACACCCTGGCCACACAAGCACACAGCCTCCTCCCAGCCCTGCAGCCCAGAAGATGCCAGGAGACACCAGTTCTCATCTTGCTACCCCACTTAAACCCTGGATGTGGAGGGTCAGCTGTCCTGAGCCAGGGCTGTGGGGGAGACCTCAGATTACTAGTTATAGTCCCAGCATGTGGCTGGAAGGTTGCAAGTACAAATCCCGCAGCCCGCAGAGGAATCCTACTCTGTTGGGCCCCTGAGCAAGGCCCTTAACCCCAGCTGCTCCAGGGGCGCTGTACAATGGCTGACCCTGCGCTCTGACCCCCAGCTTCTCTCTCCCTGTCTGTGTGTCTCATGGAGAGCAAGCTGGGGTATGTGAAAAGACAAATTCCTAATACAAGAAATTGTATATGGCCAAGAAAGTGATCTTATCTTATAACCAAATAACATGGATTTTTAAAATAGATCTGCAGTAGTTTCAATGTAGAATCTAGGAATCGACAATTAGTAAGATGACTCCATTGCCTTAGCCAACGGTAGTCTCACCTCTGGCCCTGCTGCCCTCGTCCCCCTCCCCTGCAGAGGGCAGGCTCTGACTGGTCTGTGCACAGAGCCTCCCGGCCAGCCATCGCCTAGCAACCCGCAAAGCCCAAACACAGCCTGCGGACAGGGGCAACGAGCTCAGAGCAGGGCCAGACCCAGAAAGGGGAGGGGCCGCACGCCTCTTACCAGCATGGCAACCTGCACAACACAGGAGCACCGAGAGAGAGAGAGAGAGGAGGGTGAGGAGTGCAGGGGCTCTGCTCATCTACCGGACACGCAGAGACCGCGGGACGCACACTCAGGTAAACGCATACCTGAACACAGGGCGTCCAGATAAAAGCTGAACTTTAGTTCATCAGGCTGTCACGCTGAAGTTGCTGTGCTTCTGTGCTGGATAATTGGCATGTAAACCACACGCTGCCTGCACGTTGCTGTGGAACGTGTCCTCAGTGGAAACTGCTGGTGTATGGAAATAGCTCAGCTCCAGGACACCCTCTTTGGATTGCAAAGCAGAAGCAAAGCACAGGCAAGGTGAGAGATGGACAGTCTTGGCCTCTCTGGAATTTCCACTCTAGTGCTCCAGTAAGGCGACCAGGGACAGGGAACGAAATTTTAAACCAAAGTTTTAACTACTTGATCATTAAACCCCTCAATGATTTGGTCATAAGAGCAGGGATGTCGGCCATTGTGTCCTGCCTAAATTCCACTCTGGGCTGTACAGTCGGATCTCCCTGAAATTCCTTCTCCATTCTCCTGGAGCAGCAGTTTCTCTCCCCTCCCCTGATCGGCCGGGACAGGGGGGCAGTTGCGAATGCCCCAGGTGGGGCTGCACTTCAGCAGTGGAAGAGGTGTCCCCTCCTGTGTGGAAAGCACTTTGAGCCCCAGGGGGTCGAAAAAGCTCTGGATGACCACAGTTTTTTTATTAGTCTCCTCTCTGCTGCTGTGAGACCCACAAGCCGAAACACACACAGGGGTCAGGACTTCCAGGAGAACTCCCACAGCCAGTGGCTCTTCCCCGTGATCCAAGAGGAGCTGGAGCTGGTAAGTCATTGCACTGTGGTGCAAGCAAGACACCTTGCAGACAGCACTAAGAACTCTGCTTTGAGGAAGAAGCCCGGGCCTGTGTTGTTTCCATCTGGTCCCATCTCTAAGTTAATATGGACGGTAAATATGTTGGGCTAATGGAGTAAATTCTCCTTTGTTTGCCGCTTGCTAGTGATTACTGATTTTAAAATTTGGACTGGAGCAGTTCTGTCTGGAAAAGGAGTCTCGCATCATGCCCATTGCAAATATATGCGAACACTCTGTCGTCAGAAGAAACTAGAGCTGGAATGAGTTCCTAAGAGGGCTGTTCATGCAGTTCAGGTCAGGAAGTGTTAGCCTTTTGGTAACATTATTCCAAACAAAGTGGTTCTAATCATTCAAAAATCCAGCAGAATGGCAAACGTGTTTTGAAATGTTTTACACACAGGGCGCGTCCTGCAGCACACTGGTAACAGACCATCGCATCATGCATTCGCCTTGTGAACTGTTTCTTCACAGGAACACACTCCTGTTTGTCGGGGTCATACACTCATCATGTCTGCGGCCTCTCACTCGGAGCCCCGGGGCGAAGGGGACTGCCCAAAGGAGCAGAATGAAGAGGGGGACTGGGGAAGACAAGAGCTGCCCCCTGCAGGTCGGGAGTGGAAGGACATCCTGGAGAAAGAGCTGCACAGCAGGGGGCTGGAGCTGCACAGCCAGGAGGTGACCCAGAGGGGGAGGAGCCGGGAGGAGGAGCTATCCCTGGAGGGGCGTGGCCTGGCCGAGGAGCTGGCCCGGGATTGGTTCAGCTTGGACGGGGACACAGTGGAGTCCAGGTGAGGGTGGACAAGCCCAGACAGCTCTGTCAGTGTCAGGGTGCTCTTCTTCCGGCAGGACTAAGCTGAGCAAGAAAACATCTTGTTCATTTCTGGGCAGGAAATGGGAAGATGCTTTTTTAAAAAGTTGTAGATTATTCATCCTATTTATTTGTGGGTCAGTGTTTATGAAGGGCAAAACTTTTGTGGGGATTTATTTAAATACAGTCAGTTTTTCGTGTTTGCTAGAAGCTGAGTGAGCTTTGTCCACATGTCCTTTGATCCAAATCCACAAAGGCACTGACAAAGTAAATCCAGTGGACTTCTTCTGAATCAATGGTGAAGAACAGAGTAGAGAATACCTGTAAAAAGACATTTAAAACTGTGAACAGGAGGCTTCTCTTTACCCAAAGGGTTGTGGGAGTGTGCAACAAGCTGCTCAGCCATTTTGTTGACGCTGCCCGGAGTGAGAGTGAGCCTGGCCTCCTGGGAAAAGCCAAGGTTGCTGCATTGTCCTTTGGATGAGACGTAAAACCAAGGTCCTGACTCTCTGTGGTCATTAAGAATCCCAGGGCGTCTCTCAAAAAGAGTAGAGGTGTTACCCCCAGTGTCCTGGCCAAATTTCCCCCTGGCTTTTACTAATCATGGCCTCCTAATAATCCCCATCTCTGAACTGGCTTCATCACTCTGCTCTCCTCCCCACTGAGAGCTGGTGTGTGGGGAGAGTACTGGTGCATCATCCAGGTGGGGCTGCACACTGGTGGTGGTGGAGGGGATCCCCATTACCTGTAAAGCGCTTGGAGTAGAGTGTCCAGAAAAGCGCTCTATAAGTGTAGGGAATGTATTTGTTTATTTGATTTGTTCTCCTGGCAGGCTGTTCCTGGTGGAGCGCGTGCTGCCTGCACTGGTGCCCGGGGTGGTGGCCCTGCTGGGGGAACTGGAGAGGAGGGGGCAGCTGGGCGAGGTGGGGGGAGAGGCCGAGGGGACCCCGGACTTCAACCCTCTGAACTTCCTGGCACAGCGCCTGCTCCGGGGCGCCCAGCAGGCAGGGAGGGGGGCCCCCTACGCCCGCGGGCTGAAGCAGGTGCTCCAGGAGCTGCAGGGGAGTGGAGTGGAGGGGCAGCCCAGCAGGTGAGTGACTCAGGCAGGGGCAGAGGTGCAGCAGAGCAAGGGGCCCTAGGGAGCCCCAGGGACCCCTAGAGAGACTTTTCAAGGGTCAGTTTTGCACCCCAGGACATGTAGCATGGAAAATCAGCACTGTCCCATAGTTCAGGTGGGGAGCTGTGTCAGCAGGCAGAGGCTGCAAAGGAACAAGTAATAAGTTTATTCCAGGCTGAAAAGAGAAGAAAGAAAACACAACGTTTCGGCCGTGGAGCCTTCTTCAGGTGTGTCAGGTGTGAGCTCCACGGCCGAAACGTTGTGTTTTCTTTCTTCTCTTTTCAGCCTGGAATAAACCTATTACTTGTTCCACTGTCCCATAGTGCCTAGTGCGGGCCTGTTCACCTGCAGGTCTGTTAGGATTGACCAGGGCCTCGTCTTCAGTTTCAAACTTCAGTATGCTGAAGCTGAGGGTCCATCGTGAGAGGTTTTTTGGAAAGGGTTAAAAATGCAGAGCCGTGCGGTGAGGGCAGAGAGGCGGTGAATCGGCGATCTGGAACACTGACCCCGCTTCGCTCATCTGTGCTCATCATCAGCAGGGGCCATTATCTCTGGGGTTATTGTGGCCCATTAGCCCTGCAGTGCCTTGTGTGAACAGCATGTGACGGCTCGTTGATTTTCACAGCCCATAAACCAGAACTCCCTCTCTGATTTACTGCGCAGTGTCCTGCAGGACCGGGCTCAACACGTATCAATACTCCTTTACAGGAATTGTTATGAAGTTCCTATTCTTATTGTACCAGTCTAACATGAAATGCTTCTTTGCTGTCTCTTTTCTGAGTGCCTTGTGCTCGATATCTTCCTGTGCTCTATGCCCTGTGGAGTGTGTGTGCTCTCAGAGCCCTGTGCTCTGTGCTCTTTGCCCTGACGGTGGAGTGTCTCTGTGCTTTGTGCTCTGTTTGTGTGTGCTCTGAGTGCCCTGTTCTGTGTGTGTGCTGAGTCCTTTGTGCCCTGTCGGTGGAGAGTGTGTGCTCTGAGTGCCCTGTGCTCTGCACTCCGTGCCCTGTCGGTGGAGAGTATGTGCTCTGAGTGCCCTGTGCTCTGTGCTCTGTGCCCTGACGGTGGAGCAGTGTGCTCTGAGCACCCTGTGCTCTGTGCCCTGTCGGTGGAGAGTATGTGCTCTGAGTGCCCTGTGCTCTGCGCTCTGTGCCAGGCTGAGAGACTTGAAGCAGGCTGTCCAGGCGAGGCAGGAGGAGCAGCAGCGCACGCAGAGGATTCGGGGCCGGACGGCGGAGAGGAGGAGAGAGTGTCTCCGTCTGCAGTTTTCCGAATGGGGCCTGGAGCCGGACGGCACTCTCCAGCTCCGAGTGGTAAGAAGTGAATCCTCACAGGGAGGTTATGAGCTCTCCAGGTTTCCCTGCATTAAGAAAGTAGGCAGTGTGATAGAGAGAACAGAAAACTGCCTGTATGACACCCCTCCTCTCAGACATCTCCGCGGGAAGCTCTCCGGATGGTCCTGGACGCAGACGAGGGGATCAGTGGGGATTAGGTCGCTGGGCGGGGATCATTGCCGAGAAGTAGGATGTGCAGGGATTAGCCAGACGAACAGATTAGGATTACCACAGGGATAATAACGGCTGGAGTTAACGTCAAGACGACACTGACTTTTAATTACAGCTTGACTGTACGTCTCAAGTCATTCCACACATCCTTTCCCACCCCGGACAAATTCTCTCCGTCATGCTGGTAATCCTTTCGCCTCAGCAAAGGAGTGTGTGTGTGGGAAATAGGCTGCTGGATACATGCAACAATCAGGGATGCATCCCACACTATCCCACACGGAGGGATAGAGTTGTGTCTCTACTGGCAGCCTGCTGTGGCCTGTCCTCACCTGGCTCTGTGTGTTGCAGGTGCAGGATGCGCTCAGGAGCTTCCAGGAGCTGACCAGCACTGAGGAGTCTCCCGCAGGTACAGTCGCAGCTGGGCCACGGAGGGCTGGGCGTGACTTTCTGCAGTCCCCATTGAGAGAAACATGCAATATGAAAGCACCCGAGACTGGGACCCAAACAGTAGAGGGGAGCTGCTCTGTGTACGGGCCTGTGCTGCAGTCAGTGCACAGTCCATATTGAACTGATCTAAGGAGTGTATTCGTAAAACATGCACGGCTACATTAGGATTGGATCTATGGGAAATGTTACAGATGAGGTCCAAGGATCTCAATCAGCCAGTTGTCAGGGACTCAGATTCAAGGATGTGGCTGGACATCTTGTTCCAGACACCCACAGCCATTAGTGTACAGCAGTGTCTCCTGTGTCCGGTCCTGAATGTGCACGCTCTTCAATTCCACTGGTGTCCATCTTCCTGCTTCGCTGGCGTTCCAGGTGTTGTCCTTTGGGTTCTCCTTGTCATCATTCTCATCCTTTTAGGATTTTTAATACTTGTGTCGGGTCTCTCTATAAGATCCTGAGTTCAGAACTAAAGAGGTTCAGTTCCTTTAATCCGCCAGTATAGGCCGAGAGTAAGCTGAGCCAATCCACTGATTGTGAGGAATCATAAGACACATCAGTTGGGCGGCAGGGCTTTTAGATTTCACTCACCTCGGCCCTGTGTGTCTGTCCTGCAGGAGTTCAGTACGACCGGGACCTCAGTGACACAGCAGGCGCGTCACGTCTGCAGCAGGACAGCTTCGTGGAGGTAAGTCTCTTTGAACAGGGGGGTGTTCAAAGGCATCGAGGTCCCAGTCAAGGCAGCAGGTAGCCTGGCCCTGTTCATCACCCAAGAAAACTGTTACCTCAGAGATCTGTGGAGAGAAGGGAGAGAGGAAGCAGAAAATCTGTGGGAAATATACGGCATAGGACAATATCTCAAGAAGCCGTGAAAAACATTATCATGTTTCAGTAAAGAAAGTGCTTTGCACCAGAACAGGAGAAATTGTTGCTATGTAACTATTATAGCATCAAAACGTAATGAGGTGTAATCATATATACTGTTTTAAGTATGTATATTAATGTAAAGCTTTCTATTTTGTGATTCCCTGTATTTTTGTGAAAAGAAAATAAAGTTCTTAAAAATCGAAACTGGTTCACCCAGGTCGAGGCTCAGCCATTGCACTCCGGCTGTGCTGACCCCTGCGAGTTCCCCAAATGTGGGAATCTCGACTGCAGAATTTCTGGTAGTGGGGGACTGCGTTCGTGCTCTCCCCTGATGTGCTTGGTCCAATATCAGAAAAAAAAAGTCTCTGCAACACGAAACCGTCCTTCCTCTAAGGTTCTTACTAATATTCTCCCGGATTTCAAAGGACAGAAAGGACCTCCTCTGCTGCTTCTGTCTAATTCTCTCTCAGTGAAAAGGCACAGGACTCTGGAGCCCTGTCTCATGCAGCTGTTCCCTAAAGGAAGCCAGGGCATCAGCTTCAACAGCCTGGCTGGGTTACAGATGCTCAGATTCAAGAGCCATTGTGAAAACACACAGCGTAGTCTATTCCTTTGAGTTCAATAGAGTGAACAGAGAGAAAGAATAAAAGAATCAGTCTGCTTTGCTCAGTACTGTAACAGGGGGGTCTTTTTCCTGCTGTCTCCCTCCTCCTGCAGTATGTGTCTGGCTGTGCGGCCGGCCTGTCCCAGGAGCAGTTCTCCCAGCTCCTGCAGCACCTGTCCCTGTGCAGCCGTGACCTTCAGAGAGCAGCGGACACTCTGCGCTGGAGGCACACCTTCACCCAGCTCTTCCATGACTGCGACACTGCGGAGGTGCCCTGGCCTAGTGGGGCGGGGTTGGGCAGGGTGGGGCAGGCTGGGACACTGTGGAGCAGTGTGGGGCAGGCTGGGGCACTGTGGAGCAGTGTAGGGCAGGTTGGGGCACTGTGGGGCAGTTTGGGGCAGGTTGGGGGACTGTGGAGCAGCGTGGGGCAGGTTGGGTCAGCGTGGGGCAGGTTGGGGCAGGTTGGGGCACTGTGGAGCAGCGTGGGGCAGGTTGGGTCAGCGTGAGGCAGGTTGGGGCACTGTGGAGCAGCGTGGGGCAGGTTTGGTCAGCGTGGGGCAGGCTGGGGCACTGTGGAGCAGCGTGGGGAAGGTTGGGGCAGTGTGGGGCAGCGTGGGGCAGTTTGGGGCACTCTGGAGCAGTGTGGGGCAGGCTGGGGCAGTGTGGGGCAGACTGGGGCAGCGTGGGGCAGAGTTTTCATATGCTGCCTTTCTTTCCCTGACTGTGATCCTGTGTCTCTGATTGGCTGTAGTCGGGGCTGCTGGACAGACACAGAGTTCTGGCCCTGCTGGAGAATTTCTACGACAGCCAGTCTGAGGGCATCCAGGCGGCCTTGCACAACCCTCGGCACTGTGAGTACAGCCCCCACTGTTCACGGTGTAGGAACACTCTTGCAACCCAATCCACACCCACACCCCACGGCACAGACACAGTCAGAAATACACATCTTCTTTTACCCAAGTATTTTTTCTCAAGAAGACTCCACAGCCGTGTTTCCTTTCTTCTCTTTTCTGCCTGGAATAAATCTATTACTTTTTGCTTTTTTCTCAAGATATTTTTATATGCAACATTTTGTGGTTAACCTTCAGAGCATCAGGTATTCCCGCAGTGAGGCCGAACACAACTAAATTCCAGTACACTTGAATTGGCTGAACTGCTGGCTGGAATCAGGGCTCCATCTAGTGGAATGTTCCTGATACTGCAAGTCAAATGCGAGCTCTTCCATTCAACTTCAGAAAGCCATTTATTATAAGGCAAAATAACTGGCCCACTCCCTTAACCCAGGCCACACGCGCACATACAAGGACAATTACACACAATTAATTCTGCCAGATATCACTATTAAATAAGTGCACTTTTACAAAAAATAATTTAGACAGAGGGTGCCACTACCTGTCAGTGTGTTATTACACATGGCCAGCAGCCATATCACCCTGCAACTCACTACTGGCAACCCACTGAAGCAGC